GAGAGCCACCTTTCTGCAGTCTTTCCACTGACTTTGGATCCATACCTGGAGCCACGCAATTCTGCGCCTACTTACCTGTGTCTGCCTGCCTTCCGCTTCACCTTTCTTTGTCCCCAGCCCGCAGCTCCTCGCGTCTGAAGAGAGCCTGGCTCGCATCGGACCACGGACTTGCGGCGGCCCGGGCTGGGACAGCTGCCTGGCAGAAAGCTCTTTATGAGTGTCACAGGGTTGTTTGTCTGGACAGCCCAGCCTGACGCATGTGGCTTTGTGGGCTGTGAGCTCATAGTACTGTGTGTCGGCTTTTACTCCCTGTTGACAAAATCACCAGTAAAACAAAGTGGTGAATATTCCCGCAATTGACCTCAGAGTTTTTGACACGGCCCTTCACCCCTGTGACACACCTTTGAAAGACACTGAAGCATCACAGTGCACTTCATCCGCATTTGTAATAAGTGGGACCAAACGTCTTTCAAGGATAAAAGCAAAGTCACCTCCATCCTCATCATTTTCTTGGTCACTTAATTTACATTTTTCTAAATAAGATTTACTAGGATTATTGCATCTAAAGAGTCGAACAAACTTGTTAAGCACATTAAAGCCAGAGGAACAGTAAAATAAAACTAATGAACATTCACATTTTTGGAAATATAATTAATGTATGCTTGAGAAATTCTGAAAGATAAACATTTAAATGTTAAAATACTTATTACCTTCCCCACAGGGACAGTGTTGGGAATTAATGAGATAACAAATGTAAAGTGCTTTGAGCTCTTTCAAAGAAAGGTGCCCAATGAATACAAATGATTATTAATTGTTAAAGCTATTGGATGGTTACTAATATATTACTTATAATACACATGTTTTACACTTGAAAGTAAAGACGCCTGCAATTCTTGTTATTGCTGTTATTAGGCACTGTTGATCTGGTGGGTACCAGCTTATAGCAGCCCCGGCCATTAAACGGCCATTCCTGGGCCAGCCTCACCATTGATGCTCCCGCCGGTGGCGCATGGGGTTGCCGTCAGCATGTCAAACCACGCTACTGAGCCGTTCTTTCGTTTTCTGCCCACCCTCCACTTTACCAAGTACGAAATCCTTCTCTGAGGACTGTGTCTCATGCAACAGGTCCCTGGTACAGGAGACAAAGTCTCTATAGCATCACTTCTGTACTTCTTCCAGTCCAGACTGGTTCGTCCTCCTGGCAGTGCATAGCATGTCCAATATTCATTGCCAATATCTTCATGCTAAGGGAGCCGTTCTTCAGTCCGCACTATTCATTGTACCCATGAGGCAACTGAACACACCATGGCTCGGGGCAGGGGCATCTTTGTCCTCAAAGGGACAGCTTTGCTTCCGAACACTTTACCGAGGTTTTTGCAGCAGGGGCACCCAATGGCTGCCTCACTGGATTTCCTGGGCATTGATGGTGGCCCCAAGCGAAAAGAACTCCTCCAAACATTCCATCTCTTCTCCATTTATCATGATGTTGAAGTCCTGGTGATGCAGTGGTGACATGTTGGACTGCAATCCCCAAGGTCGGCAGTTCAAAACCACCACCCTGCTCCTCCAGAGAAAGATGAGGCTTTCTATCCCATAAACAGTTACAGTTTGGGCTCACAGGAGCAGCTCGACCCTGTCCTATGGAGTCACTGTGAGTTGGCATCGACTTGGTGAAAGTGAGTCAGGCAGTGAAGTGCTCCTGATGTGGCTCATTGGTCCAGTTGTGAGAAGTTTTGTTTTCCACTGAGTGCGATCCACATTGGAGGTTGTGGTCTTCGATCTTCATTAGGACGTGGTTCAAGTTCCCCTGCTTCCAATAGGCACTGTTGTGTCATCTGCATATGGCAGGTTGTTAATGAGTCAGGATTCACCCAATCCCATTGCTGCTTTCTTCTTCAAGTAGTCCAGCTTCTGGGATTACCGTATATACTTGAGTACAAGCTGACCCAAATACCAGCCGAGGCACCTAATTTTACCACAAAAACTGCATTAAACATGTGCTGGAAAACTCGGCTTATACTCAAGTACATGCGGTATTTGCTTGGTACACAGGTGGAAACCGTGTGGTGAAAGGATGGACAGGTTCCTATGTTGCAATGATGTAGTCCCCCTTTGATCTGTGTAGGGTCCTTTGCACGAGTACAACAAGGTGTTCTGCCAATTCCCTCTCTGTTCTGTTATTCTCGACACACCGAGTGCCTTTGCACAGTGAACAAGGCACAGGCTAACATGTTTCTGCTTTTCTTTGCTTTCAACCAAGATCTATTGACGTCAGCAATGGTCTCCCTCAACCCACATCCTCTTCTGAATCCAGGTTGCATGTCTGGCAATCCCTCTGGATGTACGGCGGCAACTGCTTTTGAATTTTCTTCAGAAACATTTCACTTGCATGTGGTATGAATGAGATGATGAGGTACTGTCTGCATTCTGTTGGATCATCTTCAGAAGGGGGACAAGTATTCTCTCTTCCAGTCAGTTGAAAAGGTAGTTGTCTTCCAAATTTTTTGTCTGAGTGAGTGTTTCTAGCATTGCATCTGTTAGTTGAAACATTTAAATGGATATTCTGTCAATTCTTAGAGCCTTGCTTTTTCACGGATGTCTGCAATGCAGCTTGGATTTTTTTCCTTCAATACTAAAAGTTCCTGATCATAAACTATCTCCTGAAGTGGTTGAATGTCTACTAGT